CAGACGGAAGTGGTTTTCGATCCCTGGCTGCGTAAGCTCGTCTTCCCCTCGGCTACCTGTCCTTGCTCCATAGCCGTCTCACCTCACATCACCTCCTGATGTGACGGCAGCCCACCATTTCTCCCCTGTGCATGACGGCATTGTGTTGGCAAGAGCTTAAAAAATACAGCCAGGATTAACCATAGGCAGATTCTCCTTGGGTGTGTTGCGTGCATGGCATATGTGCAGAGGGTGGGCAACCACTAAGGGCTTTCTGCCCAGTGGGCCCTAAGACCGTATTAGTGGAGCCCATGAGAAGCCCAGAATCTCAGCATCCATCCCCCAGCTCCTGTCCCAGCATCTGCATTTTAACCGGTTCACAGCACTCTGAAGTTCAAGAGGCACCGGAGGAGGACCAAGCTCACACTAACTCCACAGGTGGGCACCAACTCAGCCAAAGCCCTGGGAGTTGGGGCCACCATCTTGCACCTTGAAAATTATGACTTGGGCCCTCCCAGGTGGCGTAACAGGTTAGGATACAAGCACTGTAAGCTGGCTGCAGCCACTTCAGTGTGAGTTCCACCCCTGCCCCGGAGGTGACCCACGTGGTACGGCAGACCTCTCCAGACCCGCCCACCCGCTGCTCCCCTCAGCAGTGTACTTCATCGATTGGCCTGTCCTGCTCCCCCCTCTGTCTCTGGTGAATCCTCTCACTGCTCCTGCACCTCTAGCCTGCACCCCGGTTCTGTGTGCATAAATAAATAAATCTGTCAAAAAAAGAAAATCTGCTCACACCTCTGCAGATTTGCAGTTCTGCTCCCCAGTTTTACCCAAGAAACTAAAATCTACATGCTCTTAATGCAAACTACTCTGCAGAGAGCCTTGGTTGAGTGTTTGAGGCCCAGAAGGAGACCAGACCTGCCTGCCAGGGCAGCACCACACCACAGGAAGTACTGTCTGCAACACAGCGCTTCTGTGCGCCCTCGCTGAGCCATCTGCCCAGAACCTCCCGTGGGAAAGCAAGTCCCACACGGGAGTCGGAGTTGGCAGCAGGGAGCGCCTCGGTAGGGCGACACTGCAGAGCGCGCCGAGAGATGGTACAGGTCTGCCCTCAGGAGAGGCCCCAGGACGGCCAGCACCCAGCCCTCCTGTGTGTGCGCGAGGGGCAGGGTGCCTGCTTCCCACGCCTTCAAAGGGAGCAAGGGCAAGCATGAGAAGACCCTGAGCCCCATAGAGCATAGACCCTTCTTCTCTGGTCATCCATCAGAAAGAAAAGCCCAGCCGCGAGTGGAAGGAGGAGGGAGGACGTTGCTAGAAAGGGCAGAGGGCCATTGCCTTAAATTTAATAAGATACACAAGAACAATGACACTTATGACAGAAAAGAAATATACCTTTTTGAAACAAATGCCGTCTTAGCAGCTTGAGTCCTCTCGAATACCCGACCAATGTGAACAGAAGCCAGAGCACAAGGTCTCGGCAGCTGGAAGCCGCCCTCACAGGGACAAGGGTGCCCGAGAGCACTCATCTAACCGGAGCACCTGCAGCAAGGGGAGACGGCCAGTGTGCCAAGGCGGGACCCCCAATTTCTTAGATGGACCCTTGGGTTTATGGGGGGGGGGATCATGTTTATTAACTGAAATCACCTCACATATTGTGTTTTGAATATTTTCATGAGACTTTGCAGACTTTGCGACTACTGAAAATGCACAGGCTGACAACAAAGCCTAGCACTAGTCCATGAACACTGAAGCCCAGGAAAATAACAATGTTAAAAGGAACCAACAATGATGTTTACGGTTATTTAGTATATAAATAGAGACTATACGTAAGAGCTGTTTTGAAAAAATTCAGTAAAGCGCACCAAGAATGCAGAAGGCTGTGAGATAGGCCCAGGCCCAGTGAGTGGTGGGAAGAAGGCACCCACCCGGCCCCACGGGGTGGGGAGGACCCTCCCACAAATGCCTGTCCCTCAAGACAGGGCTGCCACCACATCACTTCTCACTCTCTCCTGGTCTCCCTTCCAAATAGAACATTCTACCCTATTGATTTTTACACTGTATCTGTTGACCAGGGCATAGGAGAAAAGGGCAAATATAATGATTTCGGAGCCTCAGTAAGCATCCCATACATGTTTCCTCTGAATGCAGAATTGCATTAGTAGTCTCGGTGAAGTTCTGCCATTGTAGTCTTATTAAAGAGGTACTCCACCAACTCCATTTCTTTTTATCTACATTTGTAAAATGGTAAACACCTGGGAGGTATTTCAACCGCAGTCTTTGTACATAAAATAATAATTCAACAAAATTCACATTTGCTGTAATTGTTTTGAAAATGTAGAAAAACACACGCACATACACACTTTGGTCATTTAAGCCTTATTTACCCTTAGGACACTCAAGTAATTGATATAATAACTTTAAAGGAAAATCAAATCTTATTAATGGTCTCCAAGGGCTGAGAACATACAAGTCTGTGAATACTTTGTAAAGCATTACTATCAGAAAGAAAACACACAGAAACGATTGAACACTCAGTTTCTGAAAAGGTTTTTTGACTGACTTACTGGGCCTCATAAAACTCCACTGGTTTGATTCTCCCAGAAAATAAGACAATTGGAGGAAATTGCTAGAGGAGTTTAATATGATTTGGGTAGCGAGTTATGGGTATATTAATAGCCACAATTTGAAGGAGAAACTATCCAGAACCTATTGCACATGAGGACTGGTTTGAATATTGATAAGAATCAAGCTTGGCCTGGCGTGAAACTGCTACAGGTTTGCTGTAGCAAACAGGTTGCTGGGAATGAATTTCTCACGCCGAGAGCTGGGCATACACTGATATCCTCAATCATCTGAAAGCACAGAGTGACTTCACGGCTAGTACCGGATAGCAAATAAACAGCAATTAGCTTGAAAATACACCGAACCTCGATTTTGCTCTTAAAATTTTTAGGTATTGCGATAAGACAGAGATGCATAAGATCAGCTCATCTATGTGCTAAAATAAATACATAAGAGTAAGAAAATTAACGGAGCTAGACAAAACTAGGAGAAAGATCAAGCGTGACCGAGAATGATCAAAGTTGCTAAAGAAAAGTCCAGAAGTGGAGCTGCGTCTTGGAGCGGGAAATGCAGAAGTATAAAGAAGAGACAGTACCGCCAGGCAGGGGACCCTCCAGAGGGACGGTGGGGGGGCGGGGGAGGGCAAAGCTCCAAAGCTCACTGCTGCACCCTGGACACACCAGCGGGCCTGTGCACTGCGTTCACGTCGCGGGCACTGTTGCCACCACCGATGGGGCAGCCTGGACCAGCAGCGGTGGCCACACTGCACAACTCAATCCACTGCAAACAGACGTGGAGAGGGCCGCCGTGCCCACGTTCCAGAGTCGACCACTTCCTTTTCCTCAGACATGGACATGGGAGAGGATGGTGTCCCAGGGGTTGTCTCCTGAGGGGTGGGGGGAGCAAACGACACTCCCAAACAACTAAAAAGCTTCACTTCCTCCGAACGAAAAGAACAGCTCCTGCTTGTTGGTGCACAAAGTATTAGGGTATTAACAGCTAAGATAAAGGGGCTCCCAACTGACATTAACTTACCTTCAGTTTACCTCCAGCTAAATCCCACCTTAATTGGCTTGACTCTTTTAATTGAAGTAAGTGATTTCGGACAGTGGGCCAAGAAGCCCCAACAGTAAAAAGGTTAAATAAGTAACCTATGGGCTTGCCTCTTTGCCATGAAATATTCAACAATAGATTTGCAGGATTTAAGTGATCATTTTCCCTCTGTATGAGTGTAATGATTAAGCTGTTCCCACATGGGAAATGCTGTGTGCCCGCCAGCAAGTCAGCCTCCAGACTCTTTCAAAGGAGCATTAAGTTGCGTCCTTCATGGATTTAGATGGGAGAGATAGTGTTTCTATTTAATCATCTGCTCACCACAAAATGAAGCCACACTAACTTCAGCGGGAAAAGTGTGCATTAAATTACTTTCGAAGCTCCCTGAAGATTAAGGCTTGTAGGTTTGGGACTGCATTACAATTAAGTAATAATGAAAGAGAAATCGTGTCTTTTGATCAAATAATGCATTAATCCTACCGTACACTGTGTATTGTTATTCACTCGCTGGTATTCTTGGCTTTCTGAGGCAATTTTTCATTCTCATTCCACAGGAGTTGGGGAAGAGGACGCCCATACAGAAGGGCAATGGGCGGGAGAGGTCCGGGGGGAGCAGTCCAGGAAAGAGTGTCCACCACCCCAGGAAAGACACCCCCCCCCAGGTCGTCTTAGTGAAAGGTGCAGCCATTTCTTAAGTTTCAGCACCTACACAACATTTTTGTGCAGGAAAAAAGATGTCTCTCGTGACTCCCAAATCCTGAGGCTTACTGCCGGAGTGGGACAAGGCTACAGCTTACCAACCACTACAGCACTGCAGACCAGAGTTCGCCGAGCAATTAGCAGGATATCAGGAGTCTCCAGGGAGGTATTTGAGAACAAGTTTTTCAAGCGCTTTAGGAGCATTTATATATACCTAACACGCCATTAATCATTCTTATCTGTTCATTAAGGCAGCCTCCCTCGGGGCCTCTATTTGCCAGTTCTTTCCCAGCCTGGTTCTTTTTATCTACACACCTGAAAGGGGTCCATTGCTTTTAAAGCATATTTTATAATTAAAAGACATCATTAATTCACTTGGGTGTGTTCCACCAGCAAGTCTGAGTTTTCAATATTATTAAACATACAGAAAGGCCATTCTCTCGTTGGTCTTTGTGGACAACCAGCTGTCAGTGCAAGCCTGGCCCTGGAATACATTCCAGCACTAGGGGGGTTTAGACCTTATTTACAGTGCACGATAAACCTCCTGTCCATATCGAGACATGTTGGGGGCGCTCCTCTGTCCCTGACCGGGGAGGGTACAGTTTCAATTTACACTACGGTGGAATTGAGGAAAGGTGGAGAGGAAATCAGATAACATTGAAAAGCCATCAGTTGTAAATATCACATCAGCTGTTGTTTGTCCATACCTCTGCCTGCGACTCCCTCATGCCCTGGCTCAGGCCTCTGCCGGTTCCTGGGTCCATCCATCCCAGTGCAGCCAGCAGGGACGCCCCAAGCAGTGCCAGATGCAACCAAAAGCCTTCCAGTTTCATCTTGTTGAGTCTGTTTAGACACAAACAACAGAACATTGCAAAATGTAAGCGAGTCCTAGGGTAGGTAGTTGGTACTGGTGCTGCAGCAGAGAGATCCCACATTTGAATCCTGGAACTAAGCCTTCCATTTCTACACTGGAGAAGCGATTTTACTTCTGAACCTCAGCTTATTAACCTCGAAACTGTGATCAATTATCACAGGATTGTGGGGATCAAAGGAGACTGCGTTAGGCATATGGTAAGAGTCCTGTACATGCTCAGAAACCCACCTGGTCAGCCCCGACCACGGCAAGTGGACAACGGGCGGGAGAGAGCAGGGTGCCCTCTTCCACTCACCATATACCTCTGCTTCAACCTCCTCAAAAAGCAGTCAGGGGTGGGCACAGTTAGCGCTCTATTCCATAAACGGTGGTGCTAACTATTTGGCACCCCATTTGTTGCTGATGCCCCAGTTTATAGCAAGCTTCAAAGAGGCATCATTAGGTCCTATATTTTCATTTCAAGACCAGTCATGCTTTCAGCAGCATCCAAGCTTCCATGGATAACGGACTTTCAATAACCTTTAAGTGTTTCCTGAGTTTCACTTGATAAATTGTCTAAAATCTTAGAAGACAAGAAGTGAGCGATTCAGTGGGTTGCATGGATGAAAAAATGAAGGCTCGCTCACTGGGCATTGTGCTAAGGGGACAAAGACACAGATTAGCCCACTTGTCCAATTAGCTGTGAACACATTCCAACCTAAATTTCCTGATCTTGGTCTAGGAAACATCACCAGATAGAATTCATCAGGCAGTATGCACAGCTCTTACTCGAGGAAAATTTTAAGGTTATTGATTTCTGTGAGCACCACACCATTTAGCACTTAATTCCATGTGGTCCAGGCTGCATCCCAGTCATGGCTGGGGGCGAGGAGCCCTTGGGAGGCCAGAACCCCAGAGAGCTGGCCTAGGCTGCTCCACAGCAAGGGCTGGAAGAAAAACTGATTAGCTTGACGGACACTGCCCTGTACTTGAAGAGTTGGAGGCTCACCTGTCACTACCGCTCACGCCAGGCAACCAACAAAAACTCCCCTGCCACATCCCAGGTTCGCCCTTGGTGGCGCTCCACACCGGAATAGAGCCTCCTCTCCAGATTTGCTTTCCGTCCCCAGCTGGAGACAGAAATGCCCACAGGAAGAAGTCAGACTAAAAACTCTGGGCATATCACTCTGACCTATCCAAGGCAAAGCAGTAGGTAATGACTAGCTTTTTTTTAAAAAAAAAATAATATAATCGTTTATTTTTCCATCATTTTGTGCATTTTTCCATCTCAGTTATAATCCCCGTGGGCTTCCCATCACCAAATCACCCGTGTGCTATCACCATAGCCAGTGCATTTCCCTCCCCCCACCGTTTTTGATCCCATTCCCCACTCCACCCCATAAAGCCATAAAGCGTCTCTGGTACATAGCTGTTCATTGTTATTATTATTATTTTCTCGCCTGGTCCATTATACTCCTGCTATGAATGAAACCATCCGGTATTTTTCTTTCTCTTTCTGGCTTATCTCACTAAGCATGATCTTTTCTAGCTCCATCCATGTTGCTGCAAAAGGCATGTGTTTTTTTTTTTTTTGGTTGCTGAGTAATATTCCATTGTGTATATGGACCACATCTTTTTAATCCAGATAATGACTAGCTTTTAAGGGAGGGTGCTTCTTATTTTAAAAAGAGTCCACAGGCTATCATCCCCACAGTTGTTTCTCTAGCCATTCATCTTTGAGATCTACTGGCAAAGCTGGCACTCCTGGGAAAATAGTGTGAGTGGCCGGTAAATATAATCTGAAGGTCACACTGCCCCACCACATAAGCACCAGCTCCGCACTCTCAGGAAGGCGGCAGGCAGAGGGGTGGTTCCCCCTCCATGGCCACCTTGGGGAGGGAGGCACGGGGTCACCAGCAGCCACCAAGTCTACACTCCTGAGTCATGCTTCAGCTCGAGGATGGAAGTACTTGCAGGGGAGGGAAGGAGTGAAAAATCATATCCACTACTAAAAAAGAATGAAAATGTCTTTCCCTAACAGCAGCCAGTTTTTCTAAAAATAAACAGGGCAACTCCCTGCTTTCCATAAATTATTCTCTTCTGAACATCAAGCCCTATTCCAGAAACTGCAGAAAGCAGTTATTGGGTTTGGGGGGGAAAAATTGACATAATCTAGAACTAGAGTCACTGTTTCCTACTCTATTTTTGTTAATTATTCCCTCGTTCTCCACAATCAAACACCCATTGCAGGGTAAGCACACATGTGAAACAGGTCTTCTAGTCTCCTTCAAGTCCAAGTAAGCTAAAGACAGATGATTAGGACCTGCTTGACTTAACGTACAGATGCCAATTCTTGCAGTTAAGCACTACTTAAGCCACAAAATATATTATTTAGTTCTCAATATGCCTAGGAGTCCAAGACAAGCAGGTTTGATATTTTATTATTAGTGGAGAGCATCAAAACCAAATCCATATATTGCCATTTTTATTAGCAAGGGTAAATCACTTCATTTAAAAGAATGTCCCAGATGTCTGGTGTGAAACCAGCTGTTTTGAACTGTGTCAGAAGCCAATGCTCCAGTCTAGCTGCATCAAATGCTGGTTTACTGGGCTCCACTACTGAGATCCTCGTAGGCAGCTGCTTTGTTAAGTCTAGCACAGCTCGGCCACACTGGATCAGACTTCATTTGCACGGTGGATGCATCCTAGATGCCATTTTATACTCACGGTGATTGACAATTCATTACAGCTACGGCAGCAACAGCCTAAGAATTTACAACTCAAGTTTTATGACAGTTGAGTTCATAAAAAACAATCAATTTGGTCTCAATCAATTGTGATGATCTATCTAATAACCAAACAGAAACTATATTTGGTTAACACTTATATAGCAATTACTACACGTCAGGAGCTAGTCTAAATGCTTTACAGGTATTAACTCACAATCCTCATCTGTACTCCATGAAGACACATGATCACTCCAGAGAGATGACATGCGAGACAGGTCTCAGGAAGGGTGAGCACCCTGCCAGGCCTCAGGGCAAAAGCAGCAGCAGAGCTGGGACTGCAAGGCCGGCAGGTCGCGTCAGCACGGCGTCCTAACCCATGTCCTCTCTGCTTCTCAGTGCTCTGCAATGCCTTATGTTGACAGTGCCCTTTAGCCCGATGGGGGAACCTCTGTGGCCCAAGATAGGAGGCCCTGAGCCCCACGCCTCCCTTTCCTCTGAATGCTGCCATGAGCTGTGTTGCTTCAGCTTTTATGGCTCCAACCAAGGCAAAAGCAAGAGACCAGGGCAAGTTGCTGCCCCCCCCCCCCCCCCGCAGCCCTCCCTGCGCCTGTCTTTATTGGCCAGGAGAGAATGAGAGGAGGGAGAGACACTGCCTAGGAAGCGCACGGGTGCCTTTCAAGTCTGTGGGGCACACAGCATGGTAAGAGCACTGACTCGGGGAAGTAGAGCTGTTGATAAATTAAATACTCCTCACATTCAAATAGCCACACTGCCTTTCAAACAGAAGGAAATGCAAGAGTCTCTCATTACAGGAGACCATCAGTAAGGTCACCAGCTCTCTTTTTCAATCCAGAGCTGCTCCTGAGATCAATTTAGGTTTATAAACTGCACTCAATCCATGCCAGAGTTCTAAGATTGGTTATAAACCTACCTGAGATTGTTCTCATAAAATGGGCTGGGACCAGGTTTTCTTTCAAACCATTCATAAAGCATAGCTCTTGATAGTTAACGGCATCTTGTTTCCAAGAGAAGAACTTCACTCCTTCCCGGGTGGGTCCCCCCCCCACAGCACCCTCTCCCCATGTACAGGAGGGTCACGTACTAGCCTGGCTGCTGCACAGTCTGAAATCTAGGGGCCCCAAGGGCCGAGGAACTCACCCAGTGTGCGAAGACACAACAGTGTCCAGACCTAGACTACAACCCAGGCTCTGACTGGGCAACTATTTTGTTTCTTACATGATCACTAACTTTCATATAGACCATTTGTGTTCTATTTAGAATGTCTGATTTTGCTTTTTACAGTGATGGATGGGCCCACCCTAGACCTTCTGCCCTCTCTTTGTGGAAATGACAGGATTTTCCAATGGTATAAAATAATAAACTAATAACTGTGATATTAATTATTTGTATCTAAGATTATAAAAATATGACAAATCTGTATGATGTAACATTCCAAACATGGATGTGCATTTTGGAAAAAAATGCCACAAGAATGCAAATGGTTGGAGAAAAATGGGCTGAACTGTTAAAATTCCAGAATCTGCCCCAGCAAAGAACACACAGCCATTGGAAGATGTCTGACTTAGACAGGGTCAGAGGCCAGGGAGGCGCACTGACCTTATATCGTCACGACACTTGAAAACAAACTTCTATTTCCTCTTCCAGGAAGAAGTCCTCCTTTGGAAGAGTGGGAATTCTGACCCTCAGAGCTTCAGGTGAGATTGTTCTCTTTCTCACCTTTCCCCCAAAATATAATATTACCAGACTAGACAACACAGGTGACTCACCTGGGAAAAGATTTTCTGTTGCAACCAAAGGGCCAGAAACTAAGAAGGTAATCAAACTGAGCGACTTCATCGGCCTTCACAAGAAGCCCGAGACCCTTCATTTCCAACATTCTTACTAGAAAGGGCACAGGCTAGCCTATAACTTCAGGTGTCCACATTTTGTCCTCGGCATATGGCCAATCAATAAATAGAAACCACCTGTGGACTAATAAAATCCCGTGGCCCTCTTCCGCCTGTTTGCTCAGAGTTAAGTAAAAAATTCTCACCTGCCCAAACTTAAAAGGAGCCTCTATACTAATCTGTTCTGAAAGATTTGGGGTGTTAGTTTTGATCTGAGTATTATGGGAGGAAAGGCGTTCAAACTTCCTCCAGGTAGTCCTGAAAATACTAACCCAGGGAAATTAGGCAGAGAAATATGTCAGGTTGGCTTCACAGCAAGCCACAATGAGGTTGCAGTACATTTC